TCACTTTCGATTTGACTTAGGAAATCGATGCCGCCGTCTGCGGCGACGTTACTTCCATGACATCTCGGGCCACCGTGATTTTCTCCAAATCATTCGCGACGAGTTGTTCATTCCCTTTCGGCGTCGCCGGGTATATCCTCATACACTCATATAACTTGCGCTCAATGCCTGGCTGACATTCATGTTCGCCAAAGGCGGTGAGATAAAGAAGGCATCGTCCGCTTCGACAGTGAGGCTTCGCGTTCTTTACTCCACCGGCATGCATGTCCACCAGTGATCTCGCAACCGGTACTGAGGAATGCAGCCGCAGTTCGCCGATTTACAAAGTCGTTCATAGCGCGTACTCTAGGATCCGCATTCCTCTACAAGTACCTCCTCCCGGTCACCTGGTCCATCCAAACCGCCACGCCACGGGTCCGGGTCCGACTTGCCAATCGACTATAATCGCCTCCTTCGCTCTTCTCTGCTATCGCTTCTACATCTTATCGGGCTTCTCGACATCATCCACTCACACTGCTCGACGTCTTTCAATTAAGTCGCTATTCGGAGTACGACGAGAAGCCGGAAGACTGTGACTCTGACCTTCCTAGGCGCGCGGGCACTCACGCAAAACCTATCGTAGCACCATCGCCGAGCCTCGTCATCCTATCGGAACCTCGCACTGCCCGCACCGATGGATCTTTGGCTGGGAGTGAAGATACTTCGCTGGCTACCTACCCGCAGGGTAAGGGTCAAGGCGTTTTGGACGCTTTCCGCGTCAAACGTGTCGGACCGTTGTGCGCCCATATTTCTCCGTCATACTTCCCGAAAGCGCTTCCCGAGGCTGAAGCTTACCCCGCCCATGAACAGTGTCCGCCCGAGCTTACTGCATACAACCTCGTCCCTCCCCTCGCGGGTAGACGACCCCTATCTTCAAGGCTAATTACCCCGCATCCCTTCTGGACTTCCGATGTTCTGTTCTGGAGGCGGCAGTTGGTCGTGCGGGGCCCCGCACACACGCGCTCGCAGCGTTCGATCTCGGCGTTTGACGAGACGAACGGGTGTGGCGGCAAGGCAGCTCTTTACCCGTAGCAGTGCAGGGTCCTCTGCGTTCGGCCACGGGCCACGCACGCCGCGTTCTTTCTGTTTGCGTACGTCCTTGGGTCCCTGCACTTTACGATCGGCGCGTTCTCATTCGCTCGTAGGAACTCGTGCAGGACCGTTGGACGTCATTGAGTGCACTGCGACCAGCAAGGGCTGCGATCCCTGGATGCTGGCGAACGCGCGACGTACTCCGCCGCGCGCGAGCCTCGCGGTCCGTCGACAACTATCCCACGCTCACCAGTTCAAGATCCGTCCATCCCAATGCGCCTGCTCAGCAACCTCCTTCACCGCACGCATTACTGCAGTACTGCCTTTACGTGTGCACGTTGATCTGATATCTTGACATAGACCACTCTCCGGTACATGTTCGGCGGGATTGCGACTACCACCGCGCCAAGTCCTTTGTACCCGTTAAAGAGACGAAAATACTCCGCCGAGCTGCTTTTGTTTACCATTCTGGTATCGGCGGTTCTCATACTGTGCAGCCAAGTTTGGCTGCATGCGCTACGACTGATCTCGGGCCGAACGCGCGTTAGCGTTGCGGACAGGTGCCACAAAGTTCAGCTATGTTTGCCGGCTTCATGCTAACCAATTGATCATTCGCTCCGTCTGCAACCGTCTTCTCCGAGTGAGTACTATGAAGAACCTAACTGGCACTGCATAGATTGAGGTGCGCCTCTTCGCACTGGAATGATACTCTATGCGGCGCCACTGAACAAGCAACGCCGTGTCTCGCACATCTCGGAGGGCTACGTCGGGCTGCGCAGATCTGGCGCGGAGGTATCTATTCGTCATCTCGGGCCGTTCGATGAGACAGACGCGCACTACGATTGTCGTGAACGGCTTGCTCGTCTTGGATTCAGTTCGGCGTCCGGAAAATGACAAGTCTTTCGCGTCGCAGAGCGGAGCACGAACCAGCAACCCCGACTTCACCAGATCAAGTCGACCGACGGAGTACTGCACTCGTCGCTTCATACACAACTAAGCTCAACAAACACGATTGCATACTCATCCGGCACATCCGACGTCGTCGGCCAGTCAAAATATCGCGCGCATATAATCTGCCTCCGCGCCGTCCCCGCGCGGCCTCCGAGCGAGTCTGACTTTACCTCCGTGTCCCTTTGGGCGCCTTCCGAGCTATGCTGTACATGACGGAGTCGGCACATCGGGGTGTCTGGGGCCACAGGCATCCGAGACCGCGCTAGAGGGTAGTAGCGTTGTCGCGCGGCGTGCGTGGTCCGGTCGTTTGTCAAATTCTGTTGGACTGCGCGGCGGGTTCGAGGGCGGGTATATGCGCTTTCATTTGCGCTCTATGGCTCTCTATGGCATCTCTATTGGCTCTATTGGCTGAGAAAGAAAAGCAAGGCCTCGTTGTGATGTTATACAGCGCGGAATACCGTCTCGCCCATAATGAATTGGATTTCACCGCGGCGAAGGCCGCGGATCCCAGTTCTAACCTCGGACGACGCACATCGTCATCCGCCTATCCAGCAAGAACCGAGTCCTCCAGGCCTCCTACTGGTACGATCCAACTTGGGATACCTACCATACTCGCGACCGACGCACCGATCGCTCATATCGACCACGCCCTTCTCTGCCCAGCCAGTCTTCTGATGAACGAACGTACCGGCGCGCCGTTCCTCCCCAATCCTTCCTCCCCAACACCCTACTCTAGATCTTCCTTTCGAGCCTTCTTCTCTACCGTCTTACTCAATTACTTTGACGTCCACTCGGTATTCGGTACAAGCATTGGCCGGACCCTACGCACTACGGCGCAACCCCTCATGAAATCCGCGGTCGGACCCCCGCCCTTTCTACCCCGCATTTCCTCGTTCCTCGTTCCTGGCTACGAAGAGCAGCTACCCCACACGACGACGCTCACTTGCGGGGAAACAAGCTTTGCATCCGGGCGTTACCCCGCATTTGCGCGCTCTGCCTTGTCCCTCGACGCTCGTACATCCGAAGCGGCTCGGATAGATCCTTCCCTCCCCTCGACGTTTACGCTTACTTACGATGTACGAGCGCCATCATCGGCTGTCGTCAAGGTCCATAGACGTAGTCTATAGCCCATAGCACAAAATACACACGATGATTTCGACTCGCTGATCTGCGCTGCTCGATCGATGTGATATGTTTTCGCAGAAACAGAAAGCGAGATGGCCAATTGGCAGCGCGACCCCCGATCGTCGGGCCCGTACCTGCCCGGCCTCTGCATATACAAATGGTGCTGAGTTCTCTGCGAAACATCACAGACGCAGACCGCGCACATAAGTACGCCACATACATCATCGCACGCATCTACCCGCCCGAAGCCGACGCGTAGCCCATAGGCAGATCCGACGAGACAACTTCTCTATGCCTTCGTCTCGTAAGCTGTAGAGATCGAAGCTCGACTTGCCTCGAAGCAAAAAGTGAACAGTCAGCAAGATGTGTTAGAGGTGGCTGTGGACGGTGGAGCGGGGCACGTCCCCCCCGTCCCTTCCCCACACCCCGATCTGGGCTCCAAACCATAGCCACAGCCAGATCGGAGACGTCGGCGAAGAATAAACATGCTCGGAAGAGACTACGAGCTGCCGACCCCACAGGGCAAAGAGAATTCGAATATGATTTGTGTTGTGAATTGGTGTGAGGCGGCGGGAGCGCCGCGCGACGTCGAGCGCAGATCGACCACCGGCCCGAACTTGCAATTGAATTGCATCCGTCCTCGTTCGGATGAGTTGCGCGCATCACCGGGCTGCTCGGCGTGCGCAGGGGATTGCAAGTCCGATGCAGAGGCGGATCCGTACGTCCAATGGCAAGACGGCTGATTCGCGCCTACCAATATGATGCTGGCCGGAGCTTTGAAGTGGGTGAATTGAACAGTGCGTGCATGTGTTGCTGTTGTACAAGGTGCCATTAGCAGTACGCGTAAGGAGTCTTACTTTCGTGAGAGGGAGTAGCGGGCGGTAAGTAATGGAGACGTGTCGTATGCGGGTAGTAGGAGGGGCTATGGCACATTTTCGCATCCTGAGGAACCATGAACGTAAAGAGGCCAGAGTAGGTAGGAAAGGGTGGATGAGAGAGGCGCAAGAGGACGGGGAAAATAAAGAGCAGAGAGCAAGGCTCAAAGCAAGGGCAAGTGAGGATATCGAGGTAAGACGTGACATGGCATGGATGGGATGCGATATGGGAACGAGACGCGCAATATACAGGTACAAATACATGGTGTTCTTTTTCCTTCGAGACACCAGACAACGACGACGCACAACCAGCAGCCAACGACCAGACCAAACAGCGAAGAACGAGAGAAAGAGCGGAGATGGCGCGAGAAGGCGAGGGACGCTAAGAAACCTCCATGTCGTCCGCGTCGCCCTCCTCCTTGACCCTCGTCCGTGCACGCCCGCGCTCTGCAGACTCGTCGTCAAGACCGACGCTCGAGCTGTCTTCGGGCGACCCCTCGCTGAGTGCGCTCCCGCTCAAGCCCTTGCGCTCGACGTCCATCTCATTTTCGTGCTCGAGCACGCGCTCCAAACTCCTGCGCTCGCCGAAGAGCCCGTAATCTCCCATGCCGTTGCTAAGGACGGTCATCTCGCCCTCGCCGTCCTGGCCGAACGACGACAGCCCGGCCGTCCCGTTGGGACCGAGACGCGCCTCGAGCTCGCGGTTGCGCGCGGCTTGCGCTTGGACGAGCTGCTGGAGGTAGCGGATGTACTCGACGGACTTGCGGAGGATCATGCCCTTGTTGGCCTTGACGCCTCCGTCGCGGTCCTTCTCGTCCTTGTCCTCTTCGCGAGGGGATGCCGCCTGGACCGCAGCCGGTACAAGCCCAGCGAGGGGAGACGAAATATCAGCTTCGGTCGGTGATAGAGGCGTGACTGGGAAGAAAGATCAGTTTCTCGGGCGCTTATGTGAGAGGGGACCGTGGGACGCTCACCGTTCGAGTCGAGGAGGCTCTCTGGAATGAGCGTCGCGAGCTCTGCGATCTTCTCGTTGATGTTGTCCCTCCGACGGCGCTCGACGGCGTTGTGGCTCTCGCGCCTGCGCCGCCTCTTCTCGTTGGCGATCGCCGCCTGCTTGGCCGCGGTATCGACGCCGCCGACGGCAGAGACCTCGCTGATGCTGTCCTTGGGCGACACACCCAGACCAGCGCCGCTGGTGTACGAGCCAAAGGTGGGGCCACCCAGTGAGTCGGGCGTGGGAAGGGCGTCGTAGGCGTGGGCTGCGTTGGGGAACCACGCGGGGGTGGATGTTGACAGCGAGTGCAGGCTGAGCGGCGAGACCGGATTCTGCTGCTGTGCCCGGGCGTGGGGCGGGATGAGGATCGCGTGGGGGCCGCGTGGCGGGGACGTGGACGAGAGCGAGCCGCGCTTGGCGCGCTGGGTGCGGGTCGGGCCGCCGTTGGCGCTGGGGACGGGGAGGGAGCCCGCGTGGACGTCGCGCGAGCGAGAGCGGGAGCGGTTCGAGGAAGGCGCCCGTTGATGGGGGTGGTAGTTGGCGTCCTCGTACCGGAGGGACGAGCCGAGAGCCGGGAGGGTCGAGTTGAAGCCGGGCGGGAGGGGCGTGTGTTGCTGCGTGTGGTAGTCGTACGGGTAGCCCTGCATTTGCTGCTGTTGCTGCTGCTGCTGCTGCTGCTGCTGCGGGTTGTGCGGGCCGAGGCCGATGTCGAATATGTTGTGGGTGTGGCGGTAGGGGTGCTCGTCGGGGGTGTGGGTCGAGCGCTCGTGGGAGGTGGCCGTCGTCTGGGGCATCAGCGAGGCCAGCTCGTCGCTCAGATCGAGCGAGTGGTGGCCGAACATGTTGTCCGTCATTGATGGGGAGGGCACGCTCGGGGGCGGCGACGGCAGGTGGAAGCCCTCCTGGCGGATCTGAGGCTTGTAGGCTGTCGCGGTGGGGGCGAAGAACGACATCAAGTTAAGCAGAGACACAATGTGCGCCCGCTTAGTCTTATGTGCCGTGGGGCTCCAGATTTCCGATCGCCCGAACGCCAGCTTCCCGGGACAGGCACACCCCCACATTTCTCTGCCCGCGCTACTCTTCCACGCAGCGTCATCTCTTATCCTCCCCGCGTCCGTCCCTATTCCCCCGCACGACCCCATCGGTTCATGCACTTCCCTCCCTATACCTACTACTTTCATACATATCGCATATCATGTAGACGCGTAGACACCCCCTTCAAAAACGTAAGAATCGGTCCACAAAGCCCCCATCCAATGCGGGGCAAGCCTAGATCGCCGGAAGAAGAGATCTCCATAAACAAGCGCAGGCATAGCGCGCCCGCGCCCTCAGCGCGATCTCAGCTCGGTCGTCTTGACAAGGCTCTCCTCTCTCTTTCCGTGCCCAATTTTCACGCGTCGGTCTCGCAGCACAAGCTTCCGCATCCGAGTCCGCCGCCGGCTTCCGGTACCGAGCGCCTGCGACGTACAAGCGCGCACCGCGCGCGTCTGGCCATTTCATTTCTCTTTTTACTCTCTCTTACGCGTTTTGGCCCCCTGCCCTCTTTACCGCCTCTAACCGAGCGCGCCGTACCGCGTTGCGGGACTCCCGGGACCTTCTGCGCTGGCCCGTTCGGTCTACCCCGCATTGGCGCATCCGCATCAGCAACCGAGCAAGCTCAAATCGCGAGTCTAAGGCACCGCGATCTCCCTGGTCCCGTCGAAGCCTGTTCCCAACCTTCTCTTCCGCCCGCCCTCCTCTGACAGTCCGAATACACCCTCCCCGACAATCGCGCGCAAGCATATGCGTACCAGCGCTTCTCGTTTGACCGCCCTGTTTCTCTGCCTGTCGACTCTGAATCCACTTCGCCACGTCCCAAGTACAGCAACGCATGGCTGTGTAGCCACAGTCTTTTTGCGGGTCTGTGCGTTCCATCGCGAAGCTCTGAGCCCGCCGGCGGCGCGTGGAACGCCCGTCAAATCTTGTTTTCCGTTTGTGATTCGTGAGTAGGTTCGTGGCGGGGTAGAGTTGCTGTTCTGTTCTGCCACCCACGCTCTACGACTGTGTGAACGCGTACGGCGCGCCCTTGATGGGCGCCCGCGCGCGAATGGCGGAAAGCGCGCGAACTGTAAACGGGCTGGGCGATCATTGGCTAACATAAGATGCGATGACTAGTGTAGAGATATGTAAAGCAATTGAGCTGTGGTTTGTGGAGGAGAGGCGAGCATGGCGACGCGCGCTTGAGATCGCCCGCATGTATGCGCCACAAAGCTATCGCGAGATGAAAGAGATGACGGGAAGCACCTTCGATCGCATGTGTATTGCCCCGGAAAGACGGCCGCAAAAAGCAAGATGCGCATTGGGATAGGACAGTACTCGGACGAGAGCATATGGACGTCGTGGCCTCGTTACGCTCAAGACCGAGTACAGCGAATACTCGGATCTATGCTGTATACAAAGTTCCGTCACGGCTGTACCCTCGGAAGATGGCGTAGCGCCACATGAAGGTACAGGATAAACAGTATCTCATGCTGTCTGGAGAAACTGGAGAAGAGATAGCATATAGCCAGAGCAAAGAGGGCGAATGAGGGGGGACGAAGTGCGCCGATAAGATGAGGAGCGGGAGCGAAGCTGTACGGCGTATAGTGTTGCCACTGTCGAGCTTCTTGCGGTACCGCAGAAGAAGCATGGCGCCACAAGGGGGACATACAGCGGCCTACGCTTGCGATGCACCTCGCATCCGAGCGAGCCGGTCGTCCGTCGTCAAAGACAATGTGAAGTAAAGCTGAAATCCAAAGAGACAGTATCTTCAAGGGCGGCATGCGGTGAATAGCTGCATACATGCGGGTATAGATGAGATTAGATGGCCGCATACCACGATCTGTCCGCAGAAGGATCTCTGTACATACATCGAAGCCCCGAATGGCAACGATCCTCTCAGGCGGCAAGAACTCACGATGATAATAGCAACTCAGAGGCGCCGATGGACAGTGGAGCTCGGACGAGCCGCATACATCCCGAACATCTGCCTTCCGAACCTCCGACTTCCACAAACAGAAGAACAAAGATCGGCCGGTACACAGATGTACTGGCCCAAGCCTTACGCAGATCTTGCCAGTGACGAGCTGCGCGCCTACTAGTACATTGTGTGTGTGATAGTGGGGCCCTCCGGATCTCACAGAACACAGGTGCGGCAAGTCGTTCTTGAAGAACGATCGGTAGCTTCCAGCTTTCGCACTCCACGCATCTTGCATCGTATACTATGTGAGATCTGGGAAGTGATAAAGTGCGTTTCTGGCAGGCCCCAAGGGACACGAACATAGGAACGCAGGCAGTAGGTACTGAACTAGGTACGCGCCTGTGGATACTTGGTCGTCGCGGAGATTGCGCCCGAGAGGCCGACGCCGGGGTCGACCGGGTCGATCATTCGCGCTGGAGTCGGTGTGGGCTCAGAGACGCTCGTACCGTACGAATGCATGTCGTTGAGGGCTGCAAAGTTGCGTTTAGGCTGTCAGAGTGCGCTCGGCCGAGTGGGGACCCGCATATAGGCGCAGCCCTCGGAACGAAGTTAGATCTTTCTTGGGCGTAAGCGGACTCGTTCTCCGGAGAGTCGAGGTGCAGTGGACACACTTGGCGAAGAGGCATAGACGGGTCCTTAGTAGTAGAAGCACTGACACGCTGAGGCTGAACTCGGCCGCCGTGGAGTGTGCAACAGGACCGACAGGAGTAGTTACAGGCCGAGGTGTGACTTGAGGTCTGGAAGAAGCCGAAAGAGAACGCGTTCAAAAGAGATCGTTGCCTGTATAACGTCACCCATGAGCCCGAATTCGCGTAAGGCGTTAGACAGACAGGCTGTACAAGTACAGAGATCGATAGCGGGCGGCATGGGCTTCACAGTCCGTATACCGGTGAGGCGGTCCTCCTCGATCGCAAGTCTCCCCAACCCGCCTTCGCCTTTGCGAGATCATACCGACATTTGCAGCCACCGGAAATGCGCGAGCTACGTCATGCACGCGGCGATCCTAACTTGGGCGTCAGCGCATGCAGATCGGCCGTAAGAATAGGAAGGCGGACCGCAGAAGGGCGACTGTAAAAAATAGGTGAGAAAAGGAAGCGTTCGCGGAGAAGAACGAAGTCGAAGCTCGGGCCATTCGCAATCAGCAGCGCATCTATCTCCTGCCTACAGTGCCGCCCGTCCTTCGAATCGGCGACGCTCAGCCACCGCCGCAATCCTGCGAGCCCGCGGCGCATATAGGCAGCCCGCGGCATGTGGAGGGGGTGCAATGCCGCCGCGCGCCTTCTGTACCTCGCGATCCCGCACTGTGCGAGCCCGAGGACGCCAAAGAGGGTAGGAATGCGATGTGCGCGTCCTGTACGGCGGCGCATACAAAGCACCCACCGAAATCTCCTGGGCATCGCACGCTGAAGAGAACAGAAGCGTGTTAACAGAACAGAAGTGCAGAGGCTGTAGGCCGACGAGCGCTACGCCCTGCCTGCCGTTCATCGATGCTCCAAGCTCATGCCCGTGCCGGTGCACCCCGCGCGGCGAGTGCGCGTCCTGAGTACGCCTACAGAGCCGAATAGAAGGCCGACTACACCGCATTTGAATGTGACAGGCCTGTTCATTTGAGAAACGCAGAACGCATGCGGTTCTTCGGGCCGGACACCGTTCGCCGAGCTCGACATCTCTCCAGAGAACGCATACCGGCCCGAAACTGTAGCATGCACTCCCACCACGCTCCCACAACGAATAGAACACTCTGTCATTCGTCTATCGCGGCTTCATCGGGCATTGCGCTTTCCATGAACGGCGCGATGGGCCTGATATGTTAACTGGCGTAGACGCGCGCGCGCCACAGCTCTCGGAAAGATCGCGGTGTATACAGCACGGGCATGCAGTCCTCCCGCTCAGGGTGCCCAAAATGAAATCGCGAGGCAGGCCAGTCATAGGTAGATCCCTTGCCGCTGACAGCGCCTCGCACGCTACGCGCCACTGGCATATGCATATACGCCGATGCGCCCCCATCGCACATGTCGAGATGGTAGACGAGAGCACCGATGGGGAAATTGGTGGCATCGTAGCTTGACAGGCGCGCGGCAGGATTGTGCAAACCTACCGCCGCGTTGGGGCGCTCCGCCTAACGCTCGGACCCTGCACAGTGCACAGTCGGTGAACGCGGCTCGCCGCGTCTGATGTGCGCCCGAAAAGACGTAACCACGGCGGCGGCGGTGTAGGGAACCGTGCGACGAGACGTGTATTCCTTTTCATTCTTGTAACTGCGAGGCGGGGACGGATCTCAGAGGGGATTGGGAGAAGTGTGATGTGGTAGTCGTGCACGTCGTACGACGTACGACGTTGTGTGCGCGAGAAGTACGGGTGATGCTCGGTGCACCGAGACGTACTCTAGCCTGCGGCCGCGCTCAGCATCCGGGTTGTACCCTGAGCAGCCAAGCACGCACCGAATTTTCGACGATGATCCGCGCATGCGCAACGAGCTGGATCAAGCTCGAGAGATCCCCGCGCGTCAGCGGAGGCAAACGTTGCATCGATCCCGCGCCGTCTCACCCGCCTCCATCCTTCCCACCAGTGGCGCACATTCCTGACAGCGGTCCTCCATATCCTATACACCCTCGCACCACTTCTCCATCTCTACCCGCCCGACCCTGTTCTTCTCCAAGCCCCGAAACAAGTCCAAACAGAAGGCCTGCGCCGCCGGCGAGAGAAACGCACGTAAAACGTACGAACGAGGCCTCGTCGGACGGAATATCCGAGAGCACCCTCAAAGTTCGATCGCGATGCGGGGCCCCGCATGCGCAGGCGAGTTGATTTGCCCCGCGGGACCCCGCACAGGTCCACCAACAGCGGAGATCCGATGGACGCGTCCGTGGTCCTGCGACCGCCGACCGTGCCTTGCAATCTCTAAAAGGGCGGGCTCGGCGGCGGCGTAAGACGTCCGTAAAGGCGGCAATGACGCGCATCATGATTCATAGCGCGCAGAGCGCGGCAGGCGGAGGTGCGCGGGCGTTGCTAGGTGTCGGGCGGGCGCGAGGTACCGGGAGAGATCGAATATCAGTCGAGACTGAGCGGGAGTTGAAGCGCCGGAGTAATATGTTGGGATGGCATGTGTAAGATCGCGCAGTTATATGTCAGGAAGAACATAGGAAAGAGCGAGCAGGACTGGGGGAGGGCGAGGGAGAACTCGGGAAAAGGGAGCCACACCCGCCGGTGCGCGCCGCGATTATATGCGGACGAGCTATCGCAACGCCCGGCCGCGGATGGCGAATAGCTGGGCCACCTGATGCGCCCGCCCGGTCATCTGAGGCATCCGCGTGCGCAGATGTGCCAGACTGGGCGCGGGGCAAAGCCGTCAAGTGCACGAAGACAGCGGTCATCTGGGCGCGCGTGTGGCGAGGGCTTTTCGCGCGTGAGTGTCGGCGGGTGATGCGGATGTTTCGCTATATGTTTCGAAGTCGACGGCGAGGTGGGCAGAGTTCTGGCGTATGTGTTCGAGATGGAGCATGCAGATCGATTTGTGAGGTGAGCTACGACAAAGCCGTCTGAAGTACAAAGCAGGGAGAACGGTCGGGGAGAGCACGGAAAGCATACGTAGTAGTAGGTGTGAGTAGTCATTATAGTGTAAAGAGCACGGTCCAAAACATGACTGATACATCCTGATACAGCAGAGAGTCAACGAGCAACAAAACTGTAGCGGGCCAATATGGCGGAGAAATAGAGCAAGATCGACATGAGACAGATAGTTTGAGGTCCAAGCGTTGAGTGAGTGGATCGTGAGATTAGCTGCGAATCTGCGGTGAAGTCGCCGGGTCAAGTCGTCCGACCAATGATGTTACAGTGACAGAGCGGGCTTCAGCGCCTTAACGGAAACGGTTATTCTGGTAGGAGCGGCCTTTATCCGTATCATGCCGAGGGTGGTACGACTCGTTGCCGCGAGGACGCTTGGTGTAAGGCGCAGGGGCCCGAGCAGAGCCTTGACCGAATGTTGGAGAGGAGCGCTGGGGGTATTGTGCACGAGAAGGAGAGGGATCATTGACTACTGGAAGAGGAGGCGCGTTGGACTGGATACCAGGAAGGAAGAGAGCATCCTCGAGACGCGTGCTGTAGCCTATGCGCTCAAGAGCCCAGCAATTCACGCGGATGGCCGAGGTCTGGAAAAGACTCTCCACCTGGGAAGTGATGAGAGGCGAGACCTTCTCGTGTTGCTTCACAGCGTTCCGAATGATACTATGGGGGTCCTGCAACAAGTGTCAGAACCATGTAGCTGACCAGAGACGACCCACAAGCAACGTACGAAGTTCGGAAACGCTGGGACCTGACTCAGGTTCATCTCGCTCTGGAAGACGCAGCGGTACGTTCCCATGTACTTGTAGTTGACAGGACCGGTGCGCCAGAAGACCTGGCGAATCTTGCCCTGGCTGAAATCAGCTCGGTTCTCGAACCGTTCCCAGTGGCCAGAAGCGGTATCATCCTTCTTGATGAATTTGTGCGTGGATCGTACGACGACAGCACGGGCTGCGTGTGTTTCGGGGAAGAACATGGTCTGCTCGCGAGTCGAGAACATGGCAAAGATACCGCATCTGGATCGTGTCAGCAGATATGCAGAAAAGAAGCCCAGAGAACTGACATCGCCTTCGCCTCCTGTACGATACTTAGTACACGATCGACTAATTGGAACCGACACTCACGTCTGACATGAACTGCCCGCCTGAGTAGCTGACGAACGAAGGGGCCTCAGTGAGTACGGGATGGGCTACGGCGCTTGGTCCGAGAGCCTCGTTGAAGAAGTGCTCGAACCTCTCAGAAGCACGCGCTGATAATTCAGCCTGACGCTATGATGAAGTGCGTTGGTATGTGATAATCGATGGCTATGGCGTGATGGTCACGTACATGGGGCTGTATATTTTCGAGCTGGTCAGAAAGAGCACACAGTATTCAGTGACCATGCCACATACGTCTTCAAGCAGCTCACGAAGGTTCCTGTAATCCTACCAAGGGTCAAATAGGATCAGACCAAAAGATCGCGGTACTCACAGCCTTGTACGCGGCCAGTTCTTCTCCTCGGTTCACAAGCGCCTTGAGGACTATTAGCCGTTATGTCGGGACACTAATGCGGTGCAACCTACGACGCGCAACGAGTCATTCTGCTTCTGCATCTCCTTCGCGTCCTAAAAGTACGGGAATGAATACAGCAACAGTCATGAGCAGTGGGGATACTAACAACTTGCGACTGTTCGCGCTTAGTGTTCAGGAACCTCACCTGCTCGTTTGCGCGGGCGAGGGCAGTGTCCTACTCCCACGTGAGCTCACAGACGTCGTTAAGTGCCGATCTGGCGCGACGTACATGTTCTGCCTTCGGGATATACTCGGGATCAGAGGCCAAGGAGGGCAAAGAGGCCTAGAAGTTGATCAAAAAGTGCGCTTCGACGCGATCAAGACGCTGTGCACACCTCCGATGCTGGCGGAGCGTTGTAAAGCCTCGCGCCGTGGACGTGCGCCCACTGGTCGTCGCCGACAGGCGAATCGAACCTCCGCGCGTCGTGGCCATCCGCATTTGCAAGTCTCGCCATCAAGACATCGACCTGCGCCTGAAGTGATCTGGAGCGCTTTGCGCGCGAAGAACGCGCAAGGTAAGCGCGCGGCCAGGTTTAGACGCCACAGCGAGGATCCATACCTCTTTCTCTCTGTCAAGTTTAGTCTGCAGCTCTTCTTCATAATCGTTCATTCCGTAGTCGAGAGTGTCGACGTCTTGTACAGATGGTGGAGGCATTGAAGAAAGGAGTGAGACGCCCGAGGATCGTCGTCCGCGGGTGGTGGCTTGAGCCAAGGACGCGCGTGATGCCGTGACTGATAGGCGCGTAGGGTCACGCATGACGCCTCGTGTCAGCCACGAGTTCACTTTATGCACTCAACTCAAGCTCAACTTGTTCGCAATCACCCTCACGACGTTGAGTCGCGCACTCACTACCCTATACGTACAATGGAAGTACTACGCTATGCGCCAAGGTCCGTCGATCGTAGTGCGATGAAGTCATCCCAGCGAGGAGCAAAGTTCACGATCAACCCTCGCAAGAGAATCGCGTTTTAAAGAGGTACGCTGCGAAGACAGGTACCGGGTGGGGATGTGTATCATCGAGTAATGTGGAGTATAATAATTCGGAAGTTGATGTGGTCGTAGTCTGCCATCTTTTCATTACATGGCAGTGATGAAAGGAGCGTTAGCGCAAGAGGTCGAAGCGCCCGGCGCGCCTCTGAGTTCCGGAACATTCCGGTCTGATTCACTACCCTAGCAAGCTGCCGAACTACAGGGCCCTGTTCTAAGCAAGCGCCAAAGATGCGCTGGTGCACAACCATCGGGCGTACGACATCTTGGGCTGTACTCGCTCCCGGGTAACCTGAGGAAAGAACTCATCAATACAATGACACGAGCCTATGATATCAACAGAGTACATACGTGGACTTCATGTGGTCTCCGAAGTACACGCGGTACTATGTATGATCTTCATCGTGACCGTACGACCTCTTCGTACTCGGGTGGTGCCACGCTTGAATCCGCGTCGTCAGAGCCTTCGGCATGCAAGTCCGACCATGCCCCTCCAAGCCGACCAAGCAGCCTGTGCAGGGCCCTAACACTGACTGAAACCATCTCCGTCGACTCCTGAACTGTCTCCACTTCATCCTGTACCCGAAGTGCTCCTCTCTCTACGGCCGACGCCTCACCTACCTGGCGAGGAGCCTCTTCCGTCCTAGGACCATAACGTAGGGGCTGGCGCTGCTCTTTCGTCACGTATTGACTAGGATGGCCAGCAAGCGGTAGGAAGGTCGTGCGTCTGTGGCTTGGATACTGTTCGTTGGTGGCATCGTAGGGGTCGGGGAGATTCGTGAGCGTGGCCGCGTCGTTGACAATGGCAGGGGAGGCGGACGAGCGTCTTCTGCGACGGCGCATCACTATGATTGCCGCAAGTACTCCAATAGCCAGGGTAGCCCCGCCCACTGCGCCTCCTACAATAGCTGCCTCACGAGTGCGTGGATGCGCGGCCAAAGAACTGGAAGGAATGATATCGGCGAAGCAGGAAGTGGACCCGTTCGACACGAAAAACGGAGATGACGTCTGTTGGCTCGAATTCGAAGAGATATCGGCGACTAGGGCATACCAACCTTGGGTGACATTAACCGACTGCCACGTCCACTTCAAGGAGGTAGGATCGAGGTCTCTTGCGAGTTCCAGGTCAACGCGCGGCAGCCAAGATCCGTCGTATCCCTGGCGGCGATACATCCCGCGCGCAGACCAGGCGCGCTGCTCCACGGGAACCGTATGCATCTCGCCTGGTAGCGTAGTCGGGATATAGGTGGCCGATGCGGTCGAGGTAGCCGGCGTAGTAATTGAGGCGGACGAGGAGGGTTCTGGGGATACGCCGGAGGCAAGCGTTGTCGATGACCCGATCTGAGATGCACTAGAACTCTCGGGTGGTGCTTGCTGTCCAACACCAACGTCCGTGACGTATATGTTGAGCTGTGCTGACCCGGAACCCTGATAGGACCATGTCAGGACCTGCGTTGTGCAGGTGTGCACCTCCGGTACAGTTCCCCAGATGAACTGCGTTAGGTTCGTGGACATAGCGCGAGGCGAAGTTGGCGAGCACGACAAGGAGTGGGGCACGCAGCTTTAGATCGGGAAGTGTTTGGAGTGTTACATTATATACCAGGCGTCAAGGGGCGGGAGAAGAACACCTTCATATACACTGGTGTACACGTGCACATTGAATCTGGCAGCGCGACCATCTGTTCGATCTCTCATGTAGTGGTCCTCAGCAGACAACCTATACGTGTACTTCTTCGGCACACAAGCAGGCCCTTGAGGTAAAGGAGCGCTTGATGATAGTCTGCTGTTGTCGTGAAAGTCCAGCGGGGCCGTCGCCTTGACTTAAGGTAGCCCAGACATAGTTCACAGGCGCCGGTACGATGACTGGAGTCTCCATACTATGATAGAGAACATCAATCAGTACCGCCGGACGAGTTGTTGTTGATAAATCGATACCATGTCGCGTTTTCGGGTGAGTCTCAAGACCGTCAATGATATCGAGACGTCGATGCTTCAATCTTTGGTAATGTACCGGTACTCTTGGCGTACTATTCTCTGCGCAGAAAGTGCGGACGGTGAATTACTGATCTGAGGCGTAGACGTGCACTCTTGTGAGCAAGACTGGTTCTGCTCCATCTTGATCAGGTGTGTTATTTGGATGATGAGGGGAACGGAAGAGGCAACGAACAAGCGCCATTCTCCGCGTCGACAGTCTCGGAACACTCCGCACCAGGTTTCTCACGTTAGACCAAAGAATTAGCGCTATTGATACGGATGCATTATTTCACCTGTTGCTAGCCGTAACATGATCCTGTCAAGAGATACTTGAATGTCGTTTGCAAGTACTGGGTTTATCATGAAGGAAACGGAATAAGGTGTGTTCTCAGTCAAGACTACTAAATGTGCGTGAAATGTGATGAGTATGAGTATGCTATACATCCGGCTCCTCCTTGTAGTGAAAACCATCGTCCTCGTCCGATTCCTCGCTCCCGTCGTCAAACGGGTTCTCATTCTCGTCCTCCTCTTGATCCCCCTCCTCTTCGTCCCACGCTCCACCAGCGTTGGCAGGTATGTCGGCCCATCCATCGCTGCCACCCATCAGCCGGATAACTTCCGTGCGTCTCGCAGCGCGGTAGCCTTGATAGTGTGCTTCCTCACGGGCGCGTGTCTCCTCGTCGTCTTCGCTGTCTTGCTGCTCCTCATCTTCGCCCTCATCGTCCTGTGGATCATCTTCGCCCTCCTCATCTTCTTGCTGGTCGTCTTCCTCCGCTTCTTCTTCGTGCTCTTCTTCATCTTCTCTCTCGCCCTCTTCGTCATTATCATCAAGGACCTCTCCAGCACCAGCAGGAACAGCATCCCATCCATCACCGCCTCTGACCTCCTCAACCCTCCCTCCACGCGATCTAGGCGCAGCACGAGTCTTCCCCCTCATCCTCGCAACGACACCTTTTTTCGCCTCATCTCTCCCCTTCAACTTGCCCAGCGCCTTCGCCCTCTTATCCTTCTCCTCCTTGATCCTCTCCAACGCCCTCCTCTTCTTCTCCCGCTCTGCCTTCTCCTTCTCCCTCTTCTCTCTCCTAGCCTCTTCTTCGAGTGCCGTCCGCTCCACGCTAGCCGTATGCTCCCGGATGCGCCTTTCTGCACGCTCAATCCGTGCGCGTGTAGGTGCATGGGACGTCATGGGCGTGATGACAGGTAGCCGAAGAGGCGACGATGAGCGGAAGACATCGTGATCGCCTTCATCCGCACTCGCATATGCCGATGACGAAGGCGACGAAGGCATCCCCAACGACGAAGCCGGCCTTGAGCTCGGAATCCTCAATGGCGAGTCTTCGGCTCCAGGCGATGCATGCCCCGGCGAAGTGGGCGAAGGACCAGACATTCTCGTCAGGAAACGCGAGAACGCGTCGTGCTTGTTCCACCGGTACGGATCGAGGCCACCGTCGAACTTGTCCTCGTCATCTTCATCGACGTCTGAGCCTTCTGCGTCGTCATCCAGGTCGTGGATCGGCGAAGGTGAAGGCGAAGGGAGCGAGGGCTTGAACGACTTGATCTTTGACGTTTTAGGTTTGGGAAAGATCGAGGCGGCGGGTTTAGATGTTGATGACTTGAACGGGTTCGAGGATGGGTTTCGCGTCGTAAGAGGTTTCGCTTGACGAGAGCCTTTCTTTGATGGTGAACCGGTCAAGTCGGGCGGTGAAGGGTCGGGCGTGTGGGGTGCGCGGGTGCGGGCGGTTGTCCGAGTTGTGAGCAGTGTTTGGGTCTTGGGTGGGGACGGGAAAACGGAGGAGGGTTCGATGGGTGTTGGGTCGAGGGAGATGTCTTCGTAGGCACGGAAGACGTAGGGTTTGTTGCCGACGCCTTTACGTGCGGGGATTGTCTGGGTACATACGGTAATATGTACCACGCGTTGTGAATCGTGGCGCTGCGAGCAATAGTTAGTGATTATAGTCGCTACACACGATGAGTGATGAACATACGTAGACAATAGCCTTCGACAGATCCCCACCAGGCGGCCAGATATTCGCCAACCCGAACTCATCCTCATTCTCCCAACTCCAATCCTCATCCTCCTCGAAGAACGGCAACTCATTCGCATCATTGCTCGCCTCGACCAGATCCGCAAAGCTCTTCGCAGAGTAATACGGGTCCTGCACGCGACTCGCTTTGGCCCATGTCGTGCCGCCACTGAGCGTGGCGAGGCGCCATGACTCGTGGTAGTATGATATGTCGCGTTTGGCTTCGAAGAGGTAGCCCTGCTCGCCTGGTGCTGGCGGGGAGTGGGCACGTGAGGGGTCGCCGTTGAATAGGAATAGCACGAGGGCATGGATGTGCGCCAAAGAGTAGTTCAATGGCACCTGCACGATGCGGTAGGTGCCCTCGCACTCCCAGAACGCCGGGCTGCCGCGGTGATCAAGTCTCCGCGCCTCTCGCGGCCTCCTGCGAACAGGCGGGAGATCAGGCGCAGACACGAGCTGAAACCTCAGCGCCAAATGCCTCGAAAAACTCGTCTCTTTCGGTAAGCCCAGGCGCACGTGTCTGCGGACGAAGCCGAAGGGGTTCGTGGGCGAGTCCGAGGGCACGGATTTGGCGTAGGGCGTGTAGGGCGTCGAGTACTCCGAGTACAGCGAGCAGTCCGACGAGCGTGGCGGTGAGCGCACGGGCGTCGATGTCAGGTGACGGCGTTTGGCGGGTGTGGGGTATGCGCCGGGTTCGGAGGATGCGACCTCTGGCGCGTCGGAGGACGAGTCAAAGTCAAAGTGTCGCTTCGGCGGCATATTTAGAAATTAGGTATCGCAGGGTTTGAGCCACTTCTAGAAAGTCAAGTGCAAGTCTAGTTTGAGACGAGTTGAAAGAAAGGTTAAAGGGAGAAAGTCGAAGAGGAGGTGTGGTGGCGGAAGGAAGGGTCGCTCAACAGACGCTGATCGACTGACGGGCGCTAAACGCACGACGCGCTAAACGTAATCACATGACCGCGTTGATTCTTCGGCATCACGGCTCGTCTCTCGCCTCCATGTCGTACATCGAGCATGTCCGAGTCTGCGTAGCGAAGTGCAGCTTATCCATACACAACGGAACCTAGCTGCTACCTCCATTCTTTTACTGTATGGTGCGCTGTAAGCTGCCGTTTTTACACCTGTCCATATGTGCCCACAATCGACCCTTATCTGATATGCTTCGGTCCACGGGCGGCCTTCGGCACCGCCGAAGCCTACGCAGTAGAGTATAGATAGGCGCCCTCTCTACAACTGTGACTCCTCTCTCACTCTCATGGCTTTCGGTGCTGTAGACGTGCTCGCGCTAGTATCCCTTGCAAGTCTGACAGCGATAGTGCTGTATCGTAAACGCACTCTCGCGCCTCCAGGCCCGCAAGGATGGCCCATCATCGGCAACGCGCTCAACCTGCCCAGTAGCAAGTACTGGCTGACGTACGATAGATGGTCTAAGGCATATGGTAACATGGTCTATCGCCTCACGCGCTTTCTATCTGAAAGAACGACAAGGCGATGTGCTCCAGTTCACGTCTTTCGGTGAACGCACCGTGATCTTGAGTTCCGCGAAAGCCGTGCATGACCTCTTCGAGCTGAGAGGTTCGTATCACGATCTTACTCGCCTCCAACTTTCACTGATGTCTACGCAGGAAACATCTACTCCGACAGACCTCCTGCTCCGATGGCTGGCGAACTGTCAGTCTCCTCTGACGTTCATGGGCGCCCTTGTCCATTCTAACACCCCTGCTTCTCTAGTGTAGGCTGGAACAAGGGACTCGGCTATGCCCGCTTCACGCCACACTCCCTCACATCCCCGACATCTTCGACACCCTACCCGGTCAACTCCAGTGCGCGCTTCCGCGTCCTTCGCCGGATGTTCCAGGATACGATCGGACCGCAAGCCTGCCGAACAGACGATTTGAAGACGCTACAGGAAAAGGCAAGGGATGGGCTGCTGAGGCGGCTGATGAGAGCGGGACAGGCTGAGAGCAAAGGCGGGGATTTCAATGAGGAGATTTGGCAGTACGTCTTTGTAGACCAGGTAGTTCGGTATCATATCGTGCTGACCGTGCGTAGGGCCGCGGGATCGTTCATGCTCCTGGTCACGTACGGCTACGAAGTCCCTCTTGACTCGCACGTCGATCCTCTTGTCAAGATTGTCGAGAGGGCCATGGAGGGCTTCTCGCGGGCATCCGAGCCAGGCGCATTCTGGGTCGACTACATGCCTTTCCGTAAGCAGCACACCCGTTTGCTCACGCTTCATGCAATTCACGCTGGTATTGTAGTGCGATACATTCCTGCATGGGTACCGGGCGCTAGGTTTCAGCGTGAGGCTGCCCAACTGAACACGGAGCGGGAGATGTTGTATGAGGAGCCATACCGATGGACCAAGGCGCAGACAGTACGTTGTGTGTGTTTCATCCTCGTAGGCCGCTGATTGACGGCTACTAGCTAGGGGGAAATGCAACACCTTCTATGGTTTCTGGCTTGATTTCCTCGAAGCAAGAAGCAAGCCTGCAGGAGAGCGACGAGGAGCTCATCATGGCGGTCGCAGCATCTCTGTACTCCGGAGGCGCCGATACAGTGAGCCGTTCCCTCCACCCTCTGCTCGGCCTCTGCAGCTCACGGCTATCTCCTCTGTAGACGCACGCAACCCTCAACTCCCTGCTCCTAGCAATGTCGCTGTACCCCTCCATCCAAACCCGCGCCCAAGCGGAACTTGACGCCCTCTTGTCCTCCGAACATCGCCTTCCAACGCTGGACGACAGACCTGATCTTCCCTATGTCGAGGCGCTGATGAAGGAGCTTTGGCGCTGGAACCCCAGTGTGCCTCTGGGCTTGGCGCATAGAGTCGCGGAAGACAATGTGTATAGAGGGATGGAGATCAAGGAGGGGACGACCGTCTACGCGAACATCTGGTTCGTCTTTCTTACTTCAGTTGCCCATGGAGGCGTGGCGCTAATGAACGCGTACATAGGTCGCTTCTACACGATGAAGAGACCTACCCCGACCCCTTCGTCTTCAACCCCGACCGGTACCTCGACTCGCAAGGCCAACTACGCAAACTCGACAAACTCGAAGATCCAAGCTTCGTCGCATTCGGACTTGGCCGTCGGATCTGTCCTGGGATGCACCTTGCCGACGCAACGATGTTCTTATACATCGCGTCTATCTTGTACGCGTTCAGGATTGAAAAGGCGTTGGATGAGAAGGGAGAGCCGATGGATCCGGTGGTTGAGTATGATGGATTCATCAGGTATGTTTTGAATCATGTTCAACACCTGCTGGGAGGCTGACACCTTGCATAGTAAACCGAAGTCATTCAAATGCCGGCTCATCCCGCGCAATACTTTTACTGGCGCGGCGTGATTTGCTCGTGATGCGAGAACAATAACATTTGTACAACAATACTTTCATCACAATCATCATCTATGCCCACCGCACGGACATGATCTTCCTCGCAACGCCTTCCCTCTGATCCCATACATCCTTAACCTTCCCGCCCTGCGCCTCGACGGCCTTGACAAACTCCTGTACACCACCGCCCACACCGAAGTAAAGCACCTTCGCCGCAACCAAGCACACCGCTGCCCCACTTTTGCGCAACACGCGAAGTAAGGGCGGTATGCTCTCTTGGCGGTAGATCGTCTCGCTTGTAAGAAGGCAGTCATAGGGCGTAGACGTTGGGAAGCCGTCCCATGAGCCCGAGGAGAAGTTGATAGTGATGTTTTGAGCCGAGAGGGAGGCTTTGAAGGCGGAGAGAAGGGCCGGGGTGATTGAGAGGTGCAAGTCGGCGTCGTCGGTGTCTGGGTCCGCAAGGTCTTCTGAGGCTCGGTATGCCTCTGCCAATGGCGACGTATCTAGATAATGTTCAGGTCTTCAGGTGAAATGGACGATGATTGAAGGATACTTACACCACGTCAAGATTACATTCGGCAGTGTCACGAGTTCGAGTACTGTGCGGTTGTAGTCTTGCAGGTGAAATGCCGTGCACGGGAGATCATCTGAGGCCGACTCTTTCGCCATAGACTCCAGCAAGCGAGAGAAGAGTAATAATGATGGGACAGCGGTACCGCATCCAAGCTATAGGGTCCAATCAGCTCAAGTATTCGACGCGAAAAAAAGTCGCGCGTTACCTCAAGGATGCGCTTTCCCTTCACCCAAGACCCATCACCGTTCAACACGCTCGAGTCCAGATATGTCGCCAAATCGACACTACACTCCCACGTTTTCAACCCTCCCTCGTATTTTCCGGGTACAAGGTCGCTCGGCGCGTCCAAGAACGCGAGCTTCTCCGCGCCGGCATCTTCGGCAGCGATCACCTGAAAGCGCGCGTCGAAGAGGTCACGTCGCGGTAGAGTGGCGTCCGTATGGGGTAGATGCAGTCGCGAGTATGATAGTGCTTCCGGTAGGGCGGCTAGCTAGGCTTGCGCAACGTGAGTGTGGGATATGCGAACAAGTTTGACGGGCGCCTACGAGATCATCGAGCGCTATTTCAGTATAGGGCTCAAGCGCCGAATTATCGCCTGATGGTTCTGTTTCGATGGGTTCCAGAGAGGACGGTACAGCATCGAAGGT